AGGGGGACTTACCGACGTACCGACATTTTTTTTTACCGACATATTACCGGTATTTTTACCAACATATTTATTTTTTTACCGACATATAATTACCGACATAAATGGTAATTTTTATCGACCCTGCGATCTGTTTTTACCGACATATCTTTCCACATATTCTTTAACATAATTTATAGTATATCGATATAATTGACCGTTTTATCAATACTCCCCTCTCCGCTTTTCAACGCGTTCGCGGCCTTTCCCCTCCTTTTTCGCAGCGGTTCGCGAGCGGGCCGCGCCACCTATCCCCCTCCCCGGCCACCCGTCCGCGGGCCGTCTTCTAGAATATTCTCGAATATTCCAGAAAGTTCGACACCTTTTGAGAACATTCGGTCCCGAAAAGAATTTTATCTAATGTATGCCTACATATATACTTTGATGGGAAGTAAAAGAGACATCCTTTTAGTTTTTATTTTCAACAGCCCCCGAAAAAAAGAATTTTAACTAACCCTAATGTATGAGATTATCGCATACCTACGTAGATATTTCTTTTTTCAAAGGTAGGAATGGAAGTAAAAGAGACATACTTTTTTAATAAAATAATATATTTTTCAGAGTGTTATTTCACTTATTCATAGCATCACACATAATATTTTTCAAGGTGCACGCTAGCAACTTGTAATCAACAAGCGACTCACAGTCATAGTCGTTGCTTTCATATATCGCTTTTGTCGCATGATATATTTCAGTAATGTCCTTCTCTCGAAGAACATTTACAAAACTTCGGAATTTTACACTAACGAGATGCGTATTTTCAGACAACCTTACATACATATGATCGATGCAATTTTCATAAGTAAATAATGTGTTCATAGTAGCAGGTTTCAAATATAAAGACTTATTAGATAATGTAAGTTTTATAATTTTGGAATCGCGCATCTTACAAAATTCCACTACCTAATCTTGAATCGACAGCGGAGATGGTTTGCCAGTATGTGGAAGCCGTTGGATGTTGATACGTCTTCCCATCAGCTTTCTCCAAGTTTCTGTAGGTAATATTAATTGATTACCGCAATTGTCACCGAGGATTATTTCCACGGTAGGCACAGGTCCTACGCTGATCCCAATCTCCAAATATTTGTACGACGTTGCAGTCAGAGCATATCTGCGTCCCAGGATACGAGCAGTATGACGTGGTTGCGAAGTGCTATAAAAAAATATAACAAAAATTAAATGTATGAAAAATAATTTAAACGTGCATAAAAAAAATTTGCATGATATTTACTTTTCACATCTTTTCTTGCACGGTGGGATGTCATCATGTTGAACGGGCAAGTAATAATTTGCGTGTTTAGCGTTCACTTCAGCACTGTACATTTTGATTTTTTTACTGTATCCGGGAACTACCACTGAACCTCGTCTATATAGAACGATTGACGAAACCATAGTCTAAATATTACTAATATAGACAAGTCCCCACCAACATTTTTTATCCCCTCTCTTATTCGTCTTCAGAATTATTAACACATGTATTGATACATTTTCCAAAACAAGATAATAAATCCATGACACAGCGTCGTAGTCAATCAATTAAGCAATCATTCGTCGATGAAGCAATGTCAGCCATGATGCATTACAGCGCAAGAGAAAATGATGTGTAGTATTTATTACTGGTGTTTTTTACCAACATATTATTACCGGCATATTTATAATTTTTAACTGATATTATCGACCTTCCGTTTTTGTCCCGTCTAGAATATTCTAGAATATTCGAGACCTTTTGAAGAGAACATTCGGTCCCGAAAAAAATTTTATCTAATGTATGCCTACATAAATACTTTGATAGGAAGTAAAAAGAGACATCCTTTTAATTTTTATCTTCAACAGCCCCCGAAAAAAGAATTTTATCTAACACCGATATATAATAATTGTAATCAGGATTATTTCCACGGTAGGCACAGGTCCTACGCTGATCCCAATCTCCAAATATTTGTACGACGTTGCAGTCAGAGCATATCTGCGTCCCAGGATAGAGCAGTATGACACCGTATACACGACACATGTATTTATACATGTTGTCGAGCGCCGTCTAATCTGGCTGCTGATAACGAATTCTTTACAGTTGTAATAGGCAAAAGAATATACACATTCTTTAGATAGGGCGTAACACAAGGATTTTAGTTTGAGTTTCTTTGGCAACTTTAGGGAAAACTTTGGGGCGCGCATATAGGAAATAGAACATATAAAATCAGGAAAATTTTCAGCGCGCGTTTAGTCCAAGCCTCAGACAATGATAAATATTGAATGCGAGCAACAAGTTCTTGCTGAAGACTATACCAATGATAGGAAGAAAATAAAAGTTTTTTAAGTGTACCAGGTCTGTATGCGTAATAG